GAAACACCATGACCAAAATCAACTTTTGGTGGAAAGGGTTTATTTCACTCACAGTTCCATATAACAATTTATCCTCAAAAGTGGTGATGGTAGAAACTCATGAAGGGCAGGCCAAGAACCTGGAGGCAGGAGCTGATGCAGAGGCCATAGAGGGTTGCTGATTACTGGCTTGCTTCCCATGGCTTGCACAGTCTGCTTTCTTATAGAACCTAGGACCATCAGTACAGGGGTGGTACCATCCACAGTGGGGTGGGCCCTCCCCATCAATCACTATTTACAAAAATGCTCTACAGGCTTGCCTACAACCTGCTCTTTTTGTATGTTTTTAAAAATCATTTGTTTAATGTATATGAGTGTTCTGTTTTCATGCACACCAGAAGAGGGAATCAGATTCCTTTACAGATGGTTGTGAGCCACCATCTGGTTGCTGGGAACTGAACTCAGGAACCCTGGAAGAGCACCCAGAGCTCTTCTTTACCGCTGAGCCATCTCTCCACCTCACATTTTTTGTTTGTTTGGTTGGTTGGTTGGTTTTGTCTTGTTTTTTTTTTTGTTTTGTTTTTTTGGGTTTTTTAATTTTTTTTTATTTTTTATTATTATTATTATTTTTTTTTTGAGACAGGGTTTCTCTATCTAGCCCTGGAGACCAGGCTGGCCTCGAACTCAGAGATCTGCCTGCCTCTGCCTCTTGAGGGCTGGGATTAAAGGCATGCACCACTACTACCTGACTTACAACCTGATCTTTTGGAGGCATTTTCTTCATTGAGGTTCCCTCCTCTCAGATGACTTTATCGTGTGTCAAGTTGACATAAAACTATCCAGTACAACTGACTATTTGTCAGCTTGACAGAGAAACACATCACCATTAAGCCACAACCTTTCCTTTCTCACTAATCCTCACGATCTCACATTAAAAATATAAATAACTTTAAAAAACCCACAATCTTTACAAATTCAAACACATTAAAAGTTCAGTCTCTTTACAATAGCCAATCTCTCTTAAAATTCAAAATTCAAAAGCTCTCAACTGTGGGCTCCTGTAAAATAAAAAATAAATTAATACTTTCTTACTTCAAGAGGGAAGAACCAGGGCCCAGTCACAATTAATTCAAAGCAAGACAAAATTCCAAACATGTAAATAACACAACATCCAATGTCTGACATTCACTCAATATTTTTTGTGTTCCTCCAAGGAGCCTGGGTCACTTCTCCAACTCTGCCTTCTGCATCACATACAGAGATTGTCTTTTAGGCTCTGGATGGCTCCATTCCACCACTGCTGCTGTTCTTAGTGGTCATCCCATGAAACTGACATCTCCAAAATGCTGGTGTCTTCTGCCACAACTGGGCTGCACTTTCACCAATGGCCTCTTATAGGCTCTCTTCATGGTGCCAAGCCTCAACTTCTCTCCATGACCTTATCAAGCCTGGGGCTTCAATTGCTACTGAGATTGCATTTTCACCAATGGCCTTCCCTGGCCTCTCACAATGCCAAGCCTGAGCTGTTCTCCATGACTCCTTCATGCCTTCAAAACCAGTACCACTTGGATGACTCTTACATTACCAAGTGCAGCCGATAGCACAAGGTACAACCTTGGTTACCTCTGGAACATAACTTCCTCTTCCTCCTCCTCTTTGCTCTGGGTGTCCTAGAACTCACTCTGTAGGCCAGGCTGGACTGGAGCTCAGAGATTCACCTACTTCTGCTCCCTAGTGCTGGGATTAAAGGCAGAGCTGCCACAAAAGGTCTACTGGTCTCTTCTTAATCACCACTAATTTCTCATCTCCAGTTTAGCAGCACTAAATATTCCAGCAAAGCTAAGATTTCACTTTATTAGTTCTGGCATCTTGTTAAACAAAGCTGATTCTTCAGCCCCAGTTAATCAGAACCATAGAACATTAATTCAAAATAACAAGTGGCCCCAACAAAGTCTTTAAACTTCCCTCTGAAACAAGTCCATCTTCTTCATCATCCTCAACATTCTTAGCTTCCAAAATCCTACAGAATATCTCACCAAGCACTGAACACTCAAAAGCTTTTCTGGCCCAAAGTTCCAAAGTCCTTTCACAATCCTCCCCAAAACAATATGGTCAGGTCTGTCACAGCAATACCTAACTTGTACAAACTTGTCTTAGGGTTGCAATTGCTGTGATGAAACACCATGACCAAAAACAACTTGGGGAGGGAAGGGTTTATTTCACTCACAGTTCATTACCAAAAGCAGTGAGGGCAGGAACCTGTAGGCAGGAGCTGATGCAGAGACCATGGAGAAGTGCTTGCTTACTGGTTTGTTCCACATAATGTATTTAGCCTCCTTTCTCATAGACCCCAGGACCACCAACCCAGGGATGACACCACCCACAATAGGATGGACCATCTCACAATCAATCACCAATTAAGAAAATGCCGCAATGCTAGACAGAAGAACAGATCATTGCCTATACCAACCACCATGAAAGAAGCTTCATTCGGCAACTTTTGGGAGCAGATGCAGAGACCCACAGCACAACATCAGAGCTCTGGGAACTCCATGGAAAAGCAGGAGGAAGGACTGTAGGAGCCAAAGGGGTCGGGGATACCAGGAGAACACTGACCACAAAATCAACTAAGTAGGGGCTCATAGGGGATCAGAGAGAATGAACCAACAATCAGGGAGCCTGTATGGGTCTGACCTAGGCCTCCTGCATGTATGTTACTGTTATGTAGCTTGGTCTTCTTGTGGGACTCCTAACAATTGGAGTGGGAGCTGTCTATGACTCTTTGTCTACTTTGGGGATCCTTTTCCTCCTACTGAATTGCCTCGTCCAGTTTTGATATGAGGGTTTGTGACTAGTCTTATTGTAACTTGTTACACTACGTTCGACTGATATCCCTAGGAGATCTGCTCTTTTCCAAAGGGAAACAGAGGAGCAGTGGGTCTGGGGGAGAGGGTAGGTGGGATAGGGGAACAGGGAGGCGTGAAGGGAAGGAAAACTGCAGTCAGGATGTAATGTGTGAGAGAAGAATAAAAAAAAAATGTAAGCCTAGCCTTTTAACTGCTGAAGCATCTCTCCAGCACCCTTCCCCCCCCACCCCGTCATTTTTTTTAAAAAAGAGGATGCCATAAAGATTAAATGTGGCTGCAAAGCCTAAACTATTTGCTATCCAGCCCTTTTTAAAAGTCACTGAACCCTGTTGTACAAGAACCCTTTTCTGACTTCACTGTTTACAAGAAATATATTGCTTTGCAGTTAACACACCCCCAGGATGTCATTATTTAACATTCTTATGGAGTCCCCTTAAATTCAGTGTAACGCCAGATCAATACAGATGAGAAAAAAAATACTATAATCAAGCTGATTGATCATGGCCACAGAACAGACTTGGAAGCTGAACTATGGCCTTGAAGGGACATTGTACAGCACATTTAAAGGATGAAACCATAAAGCAAGGTGGATCATGGTGGGCTGTAGCATTGTCCAGTCATATTTTCAGATAAGGGGTTGATTTGAGCAAGGGAGTTTCTATCAATCAGGGTAGGAGTAGGTTACTGGTCCCGGGAACATAAACTTAGTTTGACCTTGCCAGCAAGATGGAGGAGTTGTCCTTGAGATGTCTGGACTCTGACAACTGTTTCCTTAGAAGCCATCCCTGAGATGGCTGGACTCAGACAGAAGCTGTTCAGTTATTGGGAAGTTTCCAGCTCCCTTGGAGCCTGTGACCTTAAACTTATTTTCTCCCTATGATTCAATGAAATCTGAAAACGAAATGGTACTACTTGGATTACATTTGTTTTGCTTGTTCCGAACAATTATATATTTCTAGTGTGTGTAGACTTAGACCTATAGCCCTTAAGGCAAAAGCTGTGCTGAGATAAGGAGAATGCAGGAGAGGGCTGACATACATTTGCAAGATTTCAGAGGGTCTTAAAGACTCATTGGGACAATTTTCCCTCCTCAGCCCACATGCTTTTAGTTTGATTACTCAGTGGAGGGGGTCAGGTGGGTTGGGCTGCCATTCAGGACAAACAGTCCTTCCCAACTCCATTTTGGCCTTGGTAATAGCATTTTAATTTTCCAGATAAGGAAAATGAGGACAGAGCTATGACTTGTCCCAGGTTATATATCCAAGTGCCTCTGTGTGTTGTCTACCGAGCAGCCTTAACAATGAGAACTATTTCACAGAAGTGTGGCTTTCTGTCAACTGCTCCAGTTAGGCCCCACCTCCACCTCTCCCCACAGACTCCTTCCGCGCCCTTACCCATTTTCATGACACAATGTGAATAGCTAAACTTTAGAGATGCTTCTTGCATACCTTCGTAGTGCCTACTAACTCAGAAAATTCTCAACATCTGTCATCACTCTCATTTTGGCTGCTCCAGCCAACATTTGTCATCACTGTGATTTTGGCTGCCACCAGCCATAGTTCATTACTAGCGTTTACTTCGGGCTAGTCGGCTGCAAGGCTGCGCTACGTCATCGCCAAGCGCGGTGCAGGAATCTCGGGAGAGACGTCCATTCAGAACATCCTAGCTTCTGTGATTTGCTCTCGAATCACCGCACAGCACAACCGTTGCGGATCCGTAGGGATCCTAAGGTGACTGGCCTGGAATTAAGAATGGCAGCCAAAGTAATCAGAACAACAGCAGCGGCAGATGAGATTGGGGCGCGGTGATAGAGCCAGGGGCAGATCCGGGTCTCTAAACAGTGAGTCGCCCATCACGCAGGCGCGGTATGACGCGCTCCTCTGGTGTGCTCGCGAGAGGTGGGGGTAGGCTGGGTATGGGCAGGCAAATTAAAACGCTCAGCCCTGTGGAAAAGAAGGGATCACGTGCCAGGGATTTTTCCGCGTTAAGTAAGGGCAGGGTTTGAAAAAGAGGCAGAGCTCAGGGAGTAGGGCGGGAAGGATTAGCTCACGTCACTGGCTGGGCGGGAATTGGGCGGAGGCTTGTAACCGGCTGAGGGTGCTGGGTTAAACGTTAGGTGTCTGGGAAGGGGGTGGGGCCTGGTAAATTCTGAGCCAAAGGGGCAGTCCCCTGAGCCTGGGGGCACGGTGAAAGGCTCAGGGCAAGCTCCGAGGGAGTGGAAGGTGTGGGTTCGGCCCTACAGGAGGGTGAAGTTAAAGGGGTCTTTTAAGGGTGGTGCCGAGGCCGCTGCAGCCTCCTCTGACGAACTGGGAAGGTGGTTGTTATCCGAGGAGACAGGCTGAGGTGGGCAGGTTGCAGAAGCCGAGCGTTTCGGGCGAGGATTAGAGGTATGAAAGGATGTGGGAATTAGAGGGGTGGGGGCGATGATTGGAAAGGTCAGGCCTTAGAAGAGCCTGATTGAGCCGGGGGTTATACCTCGCTTAGGGAATAGGCAAGATGTTTAAAGAGAATCGTGTAAAAGCAGGGAGGTCCAGAAGAACGGACGGGACCAGGTTTCCTCCATAGGAGAAGATGGCCTTGAGGGGTGGGGTTTAGAAGGCATAGGAATGGACCAGCCTGAAGGATGTGCTCTAGAATAGGGGTCAAGGCCTGGAATGGGGCAGGGATGTGGGGTCCTCTGGACATTCCAGCTGCCTTACTGTCAACTACACCCCTGCCAGAGCCTTGCCAGGAGCAAAGGCTCTTCAGCCATGACCTCCATCGGCCAAGATTCTTCTACCAGGCAGCGAAGGAGTAGGCGTGATCTCCAGTCGCCTCCTCATGACTCCAATACCACTGTGGTGAGGCCCCAGACCAGCCTTGGAGGGCGGGGAAAGCCAGCCAGCCAGCCATGTCCAGACTCTGATCCTTCTCTCTAATTGGCAGAAGCGAGGTATTAAGAAGGGTACTGTACCCAACTCCAGCCCCAATCTAGCGGAGGTAAAGAAGAAGGGCAAAATGAAGAAGCTCAGCCAAGCAGTTGAAGACCTAGCCATGGGGCTTCAAGGGCTGGTGAGAGAGGCGTGGGTGCAGTTTGGCCTTCTTTACCAAACATAACAATGGTTTACCCCATCCTGGACAGTGTGAGTTGTTTTCTTGATTGGGACCCTGAACAAATCTGTGCTTCTTTTCCCCTGCAGGATCTGATCCCCAAGACAAGACTAGTGGTTGGTACTGGATTGGTGTTTGATGAGCAACTAAATGACTTCCACTGCCTTTGGGATGACAGGTGAGGCTGGGACCTCCAAAACCTAACACATTTGCCTATCTCTTAAGCAAGAGTGAATCTTTTCTTATCCTAGCCTGTAGTCTGGAATCAGATGGTATAGGGAGGTGGGGATCATTCTTGAAAGAGTTCTCTTTTAAGCTAATAAACATTTATCGAGTGTCTAGTGTGCCAAGGGTTGGTGATATATGTAAACAAAAGAGAAATCAGAAAGTTGTCAGAGTCCACTTCTCAACTGATTGGTGAGCATGAGGGCAGATCATTAAACAGCCAACTGCTGTATAAAGTGTTTAATGAAGACAACATGACTTGGAGACTCCATAATGGGACTCCATAGCCTAGGGTATCCTGAAACTCTATGTAGCCTAAGCCAGCCTCAAATCTTTGATGATCTTGCTGTGTTAGTATCCTGAGCACTGAGATTACAGGCATGAGCAACCAAATACTTGGCTAGAAGTGTTTGTTAGAGTGCCCTGGACTAGCTAGCATGCAGGATCCCAGAACCTTGCTTGAGGAAGAGACATTTATGCAGAATATACCCCTCGTTTGCTCTACTTAAAAAAAGTCTGCTTATCCTTTTTGGCTCTGTATCCACTATCTGGCTTCTCACTGGTCTCTGCTTCTAGCCTCGACATTGAAGCCTAAAAAATATTTAGGCTCCTCAGTTAAAGTCTGAATTCATTTTTTTTTAATTTATATATTATTTATACAGTGTTCTGTCTGCATGTACACCTGGATGCCAGAAAAGGCACCAGATCTATATGGTTGTGAGCCTTCATGTGGTGGCTGGGACCAGAGCTCAGGACCTCTGGAAGAGCAGACAGTGCTCTTAAGCTTTGAGCCATCTTTCCAGCCCAAAGTCTGAATTCTTTATCCTGGTCTCTACAGTTCTATGTGATTTGGCTCCACGTCCCCCTATTCAGTCAGTCATCTGCTCATTTGCTTCAGTTCACTTTACCCACACTGGTCTCCTTGCTATTCTTGCAGCATGCCAGGTACCCTCTAGCCTGGGGTCTTTACCTTTGGCTGATCCCTCTTTCAACTTCCACAACTGGCCACTACCTTTCTCCCATCTGATCTTAGATATCTTACTATCCCCTGCCATTGTCTTTTTACACTGCTATTTACAAATATAGTAGCTATCTCCCATATCCTGACCTAAAACTAACTGATGATGTCAAAAGCCTTCATTTATGGTTTGCATTTGTTGAGGATTCAGCAGTGCGGCAAACAAAACTGCCTTCAAAAGTAATCAAGAAGTGACTAATACAGGGTTAGAGCAGTACCAAGGTAGGAGGGAGAGTAAAGTTTGAATGTAAGGGGTATTTCCATTTTTAATACAGAAGGTATTGCTGACATTTGAGTAAAGGTACAAGGTCTAAGGGAGTGAGCTATGGAGTTATGGAAAAGAGTGATCTAGGTATGAAAGACAGTTGGACTCCATGGACCTGGCTGAAGGGTATGTGGTTTAATTGAAGACCGAGGAGAGCATTGCAGTTGAGACAAGTGAAGATGGAAGCATGAGGGAAAAAAAAAGAGTCAGAAATGGAATTGGAGACAGATTTTTTTTTTTAGGGCCTTCTAAGTGTGATAAAGATTTTTTTTTTACTTTAACTATGAATGGAATCAGAGCTATAAAATGGTTTTGAGTAGTAGAATTTTCACCACTGCCTGCCTGCAGTGTATAAGAGGGACTGTCGGGGGAGTGCAGATGTAAGGAGGTTCTGGTGAAGGCGATGTGACAGACAAATCTGGAGGTTCTGGTGGCATAAATTGTGGGGAGGAAAGTGTAAGACTGCAGAAATGACAAGAGGAAAGGCTGATGCTACAGGAAAGGGGTGAGCAGCTATGAGAGGGTGGATGGGAGATGTGACAAGAGCAGCTACACTCCCTAGCAACATGCCTATCTGTGTTTGCCTGTTACTGCATCTTTACCTCCCCAGCTTTCCTGAAAGCCCGGAGCGGCTCCATGCAATAAAAGAGCAGCTGATCCTGGAGGGCCTCCAGGGGCGTTGTGTATCCTTTCAGGTAAATCCCCCAGCCTACAGGTGGTGGGAAGGGAACTGGCAGGACCTAGGTATGGTCTATGCTCTAGTTCTTTATTCCTTATGTCTCCTCAGGCCCGGTTTGCTGAGAAGGAAGAGCTAATGTTGGTTCACAGGTGAAAACTTGGGAGCTTGGTGGGGGGCGGGAAAGAGGATGCCCTGGCCCAAACAGGACAGAGTGACTGCTTTGGGATAGAATCCCATAGACTTGTCTGGCCAGCCTTGGACAAGTCCCTGAGCATCTCTGACTCTTCATTGCTAAAACAAACAACAAGCAAACAAAAAACAACAAAACAAAATAAAACAAAAAAAAACCCCAAACACCCAAGTTCCAGCCAAGTGTGATGGTATATGCCTATAATCCCATCACTTGGGACCTGAAGATGAGAGCTTGAGAAATTCAAGACAAGTCTCAACTACAAAGCAGGTTCAACTTGGGTTTCATGAGATCCTGTCTGAAAAAGCCTTCCTTCTTGCCCCCAAAGAAAAGAAATCTAAGTCCTCCGTGAAGGTCGATGTTTGTGTCAGGTACCTGACAGCATCTTACAGATCATAAGCCTGTGATGGGCTAGTGTTATTATAATGTGCCAGTGTGATCAGGAGGGTTGGGGGTGTGTTCTGTAAGAACTGAAAGGAAGAGGCCTGGTACAGTATGGCTCACAGAAGACTAGCTGGGCAAAGGGAATATGTGAGCTGATCTTCAAGAGGCAAAAAGGTGGGTGAGTCCAGCGAAAAGAATAGCTGAAGAAAGGGAGGAACACAACTGTAACGGTATAGTCAGAGTCAGGGAACAAAGTATACAGCTGGAGATGAGGGAAACTAGAGAAGAAATAGGGACTGTGGCGTAAATCCCAGCCGCACCCCTAGGTTAACTATGGATGCCTGATTTGACTTGTGGTCTAGTTTGTAGAAAGTGTGGCTAGGAAGTGAACAGGGCTCTAAATCCTATCCCTTATCTTGTGTCTCCAGCCTGGAATACATTGATCTTATGGAGACAACCCAGTACATGAATGAAGGAGAACTTCGCATACTAGCAGGCACCTATGATTCAGTTTATCTGCATCCGGTATGGATGAGAACTGTGAGGTCAGGGTGTGGCAGCAATTCTGGGGTCTCCCATCTCTATGCCAACCTCACTGTGGGAAAAAGAAGTGAAATAGATAGAACAGTGCTTTCTCTCTCTCAATCTTTCTCTGGTTTTCCAATGTCTCTAGAACTCATATTCATGTGCCTGCCTGGCCACAGGTTCTGTCCTCAGGCTGGTCGATGCAGTCCTGGGGGCTGAGATTCGGAATGGCATGGCTGTCATCAGGTAGGACTCTCAAGAATTTGGCTTACATTTTTTAACAGATCTTTTCACATAGTGGTGCATGGAGGTACATGTTGTAATAACAGTGTTTTGGATGCTGATGTTGAAGAAAGGCTCAGGAGACCAAGGCCATTCTCAGCTATATAGTAAATTTGAGGCCACCCTGGGCTACATAAGACACTTCCTCAAAAAAAAAAATGTAAGATGTGTTAACTTGGGTATGATGTCTTCATGTGATTGAGTGAAATGGCACAAAGTGGAGTTCAATAAAAATTCTCTCTCCCTCCTATCCTTGAAAGGTGGTCATTGTAACTGGTAACTTCTGTGTTCTCTCACAGCGAGTCTTATTCAATTAACAGCTAATGAGTATCAATAGTCTATTGAGTCACAAGGACATATTTCTTCTCTGTCTGGGACATCTTAAAATCCAGATGCAGCCAACAAACTGTCACATCCCAAACTTTAGTTCAAAAGCATTTTCTGTTTTGTTGTTGCCCGTGGAAGGTCATAGAACATCTTGTCATAGCTGACTTCCTAGAACTGATAAGATGCAGAAGATGACGTTTTCATCCACAGTCCATTTTTTAACCACCAATGGCAGTAAGCACATGGTGCCCTCCTTTCCATTCTGTGCATTTTTAAAAACTTGTATATCTTTGAAAACTTTTTCTTAATAGTATTTGGGTCATCCTTGAGTGAGATGCCATTGTGCAAATATACTCTGAAGTTAGTTACTTCCATGCTGGTGGGAATTTTGGTTTCCTCTGCTTCAAACAAATACCATAACAAACAACAGTGGCACATTCATAAAGACAGTACTTTTTATTACATAGGTTTCAGCTAAGCGCACACAGCAAAATGACTGGGTGTGAAAAAGTATGCATGGATAGCCTTTTGTTGTTGTTGTTTTGAGACTTTTTCTGTGTAGCCTTGTCTGACCTGGATTCACTTTGTAGACTAGGCTGGCCTTGAACTCAGAGATCTGCCTGTCTCTGCCTCCCGAGTGCTGGAATTAAAGGTGTGCATTACCATGTTTGGCTTTTTTCACCACACCTGGCTTTTTTTTTTTTTTTTTTTTTTGTGAAACAGGGGATTCTTATATATTCCAGGCTGCTCTTGAACCATAAGGCCTCCTACTTTAACTAGTATTACAGGCATGAGCCACATGCCAAATGGGGTGTGTGGGTACATTTTAATGGTTATGTTCAAATCTCCTTTGATGAGAAAGCATTGGATTGGGGATGATGAAGCTTCAAAAGCCACAGTTACTCAGTTGCTGGCAGATTTATAGACTCTCTCCTGGAAGAACTGGGAGCATGGGAGAGTCTATCTCTTTAGAGGAAGAATCCCAAATCTGTTGCCTTCCCTTTCCTGCTTAGGCCTCCTGGACACCATGCCCAGCGCAATCTTATGGATGGGTATTGCATGTTTAACCATGTGGCTGTGGCTGCCCGCTATGCTCAAAAGAAACACCACATTCAGAGGTCAGTAACAAATGACAGGTGGATTGTGGGTAGCATGAAATGGGGGTGCCACGGTCTAGAATGTTCCTTCATATGTCACTTGATCCCCTTGCACGGAGCTCCCCTCTCTCTTTGCTCACAGGGTTCTTATTGTGGATTGGGATGTGCACCATGGTCAAGGAACACAGTTCACCTTCGACCAGGACCCCAGGTATATCCCTAGTCACACCCTAAGTACACTGCTATTCCTAACTACTTCTAACCACAAGGACCAGCGATAGGGGCTTGGAAGGAGGGGAAGTCATTCATATTCATTGAGTTGGGAAATGTATTGCTTCCTGGTTGTCTACTGTCTCCTGATTTCACTCTGAAACAGGAACTGGAGTTCCCATTTTACAGGCTGTGAAACTGAACCTTACAGGTTACAATGTCCCGTAGAGAAGTGAGAGAGGTAGGATTTGTGTTAAAAGTATTTGGTCTTTTTTTTTTTTTTAAGATTTATTGGTTTATTTTATTATCTATACAATGTTCTGTCTGTGCGCCAGAAGAGGACACCAGATCTCAGTATAGATGGTTGTGAGCCACCATGTGGTTGCTGGGAATTGAACCCAGGACCTCTGGAAGAGCAGCGAATGCTCTTACCTCTGAGCTATCTCTCCAGCCCCATATTTAGAGATCTTGTTCAATAATTTACTCCTGAACTGGAGTGGTGATACTTTGTTGTTGTTGTTTTCAATTATGACAACACTTCAATCTATTCTTAAAAATTAAATAGGGCTGGCAAGACGGCTCAGCAGGTAAAGGTGCTTGCCTGACAACCTGAGTTTGATCCCCAGGACCCACATGGTGGAAAGGAGAAAGAACCAATTCCTGCAAGATGTCCTCTGACCTCTATATACATACCATAGCGCGCGCACGCACGCACGCGCACACACACACACACACAATAAAAATAAGATGACAGTTTAGGTTATAGCCTCAAATTTTTATGTACATGTACATATTTATTATTAATAATACACTTCGAGTAGTATAATCCCCCATATTTTCACTGGCATATCTAACTGTGTATTGGGGACACATCATGTTGGTGCTACAAAAGCATTTTAGTCTTTGTACAGACTATAGAGTGTTAAAGCGTGGTGGCACACATCTTTAATCCCAGCAATCAGATAATTGGATTAATGCAATGAAATACTCTAGAGTTTTTTGTTTTTGTGTTTGTTTGTTTGTTTGTTTGTTTATTTTAAGATAGGATTTCTGTGTGCAGCCCTGGCTTTCCTAGAACTAGCTCTGTAGATCAGGCTGGCCTCGAACTCACAGAGATTCACCTGCCTCTGTCTTCAGAGTGCTGGGATTAAAGGCATGTACTGCCACTGCCTGGGATGTGCAATTTCTAATAGTAGATTGATGAGTCATGCAGGTCAACATGTTTTAAGGTCTGGTATATGCTGCCAAACTTGACTCCAGAAGGGTGCCAATTTACCCTTCCTTGTGACTAGGAGGTATATAATAAATAGTAGTTTTATCTGGCTTTTCATCTAATTGATTACATAGAATCTACTTCACCTGTTAGATCTTGTGATCCTTGATACTATCCAGACGCTTTGTTCTTTAAACATTGCTTTCCTATTATTTCCCAGCACTTGGTGCTGATGACAGTTGTCTTTTTCATTTCTTTCTGAGTTATCTGTTTTTCTTTCTGAAAGGCTGTAGGTTCTTCTCTTTCCTGTGTGTGTCCCACATGAACTCTGGGTCCTGTTACCTTCTCTTTAGCATCGGGTTGACATTTTACATCTGCAGCCTGACATCTCTCCTCTGTCTTTGCAAATGTTCTTTTATTAGATCTTTGGTAATTATTTTCTCTGTTCTCTCAGATTCCTGTTAAAGGTTAAACTGCCTGGGTTGATCCTCTGAGTTTTTGGTTTTGCTTTTTAATTAATTAATTATGATTTTGTTTTGATTTGATTTTTGAAACAGGGTCTCTAGCTCTGGCTGGCCTCTTAATTCTCTTTATAGCTAAGGTAACCTATTATTTTGAAATGGGGTTAGGAGGTTCCTTTGACACTCCAGGCCCAGGGCTAGTGTGTAACTGTCTGCCCATGGAGTCCACCTGCTAAAAGTTCACAGGTATCAACTCTGTCTCTCCACATGATGACAGGGAGCCCAAGACCTTTGCCACATCTGCCTCCTCTAAACAGATCTCTTTTGTTTCTTTGCTAAATCTTGTTTAAGATGAAGGTTCAACTAATCCACTTTATTCTTAGAGGTTTGTTTGGTTGATTGGTTTGGTTTTGATTTTTCGAAACAGGGTTTGTCTGTATAGCCTTGGCTGTTCTGGACTTGTTTTGTAGACCAGGCTGGCCTCAAACTCACAGAGATCCGCCTGCCTCTGCTTCCCAGAGTTCTGAGATCACAGGTGTGCACCACCACAGCCAGCTCTTTTTCTTACAGTTTTAACTTAATTTTTATTTCTATTCTCTGTCTTTTGAGTTCTGACTTCCTGCTCTAAACCCTCAGTCTTAAGGGCTGGTCTGGGTGGTTTGTTTGTTTGTTTGTTTGTTTTCAGTTTGCACTCCTGCTCCTCCTGCCTCCACCTCCTGAATGCTGGGATTATTCCATGTGCCACCAGGCCTGGTTTATATGACACTAGAGATACAACCTAGGGCTTCCCAGATGGTAGGCAAGCATTCTACCAACTGGGCTACATCCCCAGTCTTGTATGGCTTTTTAAAAATAAACCTTTAATTTTTTTTTATTTATGTATATGGCTGTTTTTCCTGTATGTATGTCTGTACCATGTGCATATCTAGTGCCCTCAGAAGCCAGAGCAAGGGTATCAGATTCCTTGGAACTTGACTTACAGACAATTGTGAGTGGCCATATGTGTACTGGAACAACAAACTACACTCTTAACTGCTGATCTCTCTCCAGCTCCCCTCTACGACTTATTTTATATTTCCTATCACTTTTTATTTTTGCTCAGTTTCCAGAGATGGCCTTCATTCTGTGTGTAAGCCTTCCTTTTGAATGATGTACTCTGACTTTTTTTTTTGAAACAGGGTCTTACTATGTAGCCCAAGCTAGATTTGAGCTTACTATCTATACTCTAGGCTGGCCACCAACTCGAGATCCTCCTACCTCAGCCACCATCCATGACTAGACTTTGTTTTGATCATCACAAGCATTTTCTTTCTCTCTTGTTTTATACCCCCTCATGCCTAACCTTGTTTTTATAGAATAAGAATTAAAAGTACTTTAGCCTGGCTTTAATCCTAGCACTTCGGAGGCAGAGGCAGGTGGGTCTCTTGAGTTTGAGGCCAGCTTGGTCTATAGTGAGTTCCAGGAAAGTCAGGACTACATAGGGATACTCTGTCTAGAAGTACGCCAGAAGTGCGTCAAGTTTTCTTCCATTCCATGTTGTATATCTCTTCATTCTTAGGCTAACTAAATTACCTTCTTGGTGCTTCTCTTTTACACTGGCGCTTTCCCCTAAATGTCTTCTTTTGGCTATTTATACCTCAAATTGACGGGCTGTTCTTGGGGCCATCATGGGATTACTATACTGTGCTATTTTTAGGTCTGTGTTCCTAAAAAGCATATTTGCCCAGAATGGAAGCAGAAAGCAGAAAGCAGAATGTCTCCTGATACAGATCTCAAGTTTAGGGACTGTGAGAACCAATCCAGGCATGAGGTTGGATTTTGCGAATGTGTATGTGTGGGGGCGAGACACATAACATCTTTTAAAAATTAATTTTATTTTTATTTGTATATGTGTATGCCATGGGTATGAATGACTGCAGATATAAGAAGAGGGCATCAGCTCCTCTTAAGCTGGAGTTAAAAGAAGTTGTGAACTACCATATGGGTGCTGGAAGCTGAACCCAGGTCGCCTGTAAGAGCAATAAGTGCTCTTAACCTTTGAGCCATCTCTCCAGCTCCCAACATCTTTTTTTTTTTAACTCCTTCAGCCATACCAAAGGTATATCTATTTCACTTATTTTCCAATATAGTTTCTGGCTTTTTCTGTCATCTTTGCTATTTTAAAACATCACTAATTTTTCTGTTTTTATATTTTTAAATTTCTTCCACTTGATTATTTAGTTTGTGGCTTCCTCCACCAAATTCTTCAACATTAATAAATTCACTGACCATTTATTTCATTCATATCTATACCCTTTACTGTACTCCTATTTTATTTCTGCATAAATTCTAGAATGTGTCTTTAACAAATAGGGATTTTTTTTAGAAATGGCAAGGCTTTGGGTTCTATACCCAGCATTAAAAAATGAAAACAGGGGGCTAGAGAGATGGCTCAGTGGTTAAGAGCACTGGCTGCTCTTCCAGAGGTCTTGAGTTCAATTCCCAGCGACCACATAATGGCTAACAGCCATCTGTAATATGATCTGACGCCCTCTTCTAGTGTGCATGAAAACAGTATACTCATCTACATAAAACAAATAAATAAATCTTTAAAAAAAATGAGAACAGTGTTACGACAGTATCACATCTAAGAAAATGAGTAAGAATTTAATAAGCTTTTTCAGGGGAAGGTAAAATGGGGTCTTGTTATGTAACTTAAATTGTCCTTAAATTCTCAATCCTCCTGTCTCAGCTTCCAGAGTGCTGAGATTATAGATGTGTATTGCCATAGCTGGCACCTTTACTATCTGTTACCTGGAATATCAAAAAGGTAAAGAGTGACTATACTCTATCAGTCCATTGTTATCCTTGAAGTTGATTGAACTTATTATAAAATATTCTTTTGGAGTCTGGAGAGATGGCTTGGTCAATAAGTTGCTTATGAGGATCTGAGTTTGATCCTCCCAACCCACATTTAAAAAAAAAGCTTGGAATGGTAGTAAAAACTTAGAATCCCAAGTGATAGAGTGGCAGAGCCACTGGGGCTCACTGACCAGACAACCTAGCCTATCTGATGAGTTCCAAGCCAAAGAAAGACACAAAAAACAAGGTGGATGGTTCTGGTGTAATAACATCCAAAGTTGTTCCTTGTCATTTACATCTTGCATGCACACACATGTGTGTGTGTATGCACATGAACACATATACACACATCTATTGGGCTATGTAAAGCCCTCAATTCAGTACATAGCACTATAAAAAGTAATCAGTCAATAAAAATAAAGTCCTCGTCTGTGGGTACTCTATAACTAGTTTCCATGGGTGCTAGTTGTATTTTGAGTCAGGGTTTCTCTGTGTAGTCCTTTCTGTCCTGAACTCACTGTATAGACCAGGCTGGCCTCAAACTCACACAGATCCACCTGCTTCTGCCTCCCAAGTTCTAGGATTAAAGGTATGCACCACCATACTTTGTGGGTGCTGGTTTTTCTGTTCTCTGACTGAGAGCTCTTGTGGAGTTGGTTTGTTCAAGTCTTTGCTTATTCTGAGAATTTTTGTTCCCCAGGCTAGTTATTTTCCTCTACTCTTTGCTGAAACTTTAACGCCAATGTCAGTGTCAGAAACTTTAAAATAATACAATTAAACAAACAGAAACAAATAATCGGTAGTTCTCTGTGAGTTCAAGGACAGCCAAGGCTACATAATAGAGACACCCCATCACCCCATAACAAAACCAAAACAAAGAAATCACCCTCTACCAATGCAAGACTAGAGCTTTGTACGGAGATTTCATTCCCCATTCCAAAATATTTTCCTCAATTTTAAGAATCTTTTTTACATCGTTTACTTTCACAGATATATTGTCAACATATCTGCAGATGTCTCTCTTGAATTCCTCTAGATTCTTTGCTCACCACTACTTTTTTTCTTTTCCCATAAGAAGGAGAGGGGATGCTGCCTCACAGTACTGAAACAAGGCAAGGTGTAGTTGATCAGCTAGATGGTAACTGGATAGACAGATGGACAGATAACTGATAAATTTTGTTTTCCCCAAGTAGAGTTAGCCTCCCAGAGCTTCTGCCATGCTTTCTGTTGGGATCATGTCCTTTTAGACTCATCATGAACATCTTGCCTTTTTAGCAGGAACCTATTAGTGTGTCTTATCCCAGAACACGTGTATACATGACCTCTCAGTGTGAACCTGTAGATTTTATCTTTCTCGTCAGAACCTGCACATTGTGTCTTTTCAGCATCAGTTTTGTGTGTTGTTCTTTCTCACCTATGAAATAGAAGTAGTAGAAGTGGCTTTGTGAAGTACTAAGGAAGGATTGTCCTCACTGACTTTATAGCAGTCTTAGTATTCTGCACTTTAGCACCCAACACAAAAACAAGTCCCATCTTAACTCATTCCTGGCCTCTGCACCTCTCCACTTCTTTCAATGGAATCACTAGGTTCTCCTGCATGGACTTGTGGCTCTTTACAGTTCTAACTGGTTTCTGCATTTAAGTTCCCCCATGACTCCTGTGGACCTCCAGTATCAAATGTTGTTAATCTTGGAAAAATAACACTAGGGGGAGCAATGAGAAGAGACAGGACCTACAGTTTCTCACAAGGTCAGCATTGCCCAAGTTCTTGGGTAGACTCAGTAGCTCTGGGGACCTTAGTCTTGAGTCTTAAATTAGGTAGCCTATTTACTGCAGAAGGGTTCTGGGGTTCTGCTGGGAAATCAATGAATATGTAGAAAAAGAATGGGTAAACCATTGGGAGATTAATGAATGGAGAAATGAATAAGTTGGTGAGTGTGTGGGAGAGTGAGTTAATGGAAGAATTATCAGTATACACTGAGAATTGGAAAAACTTAGGAGAAAGGGAATGAATTGAGTAGCTGGTAAAAACTTGCTGAATAAACCCCTGAAGCTCTAAGTTGGGAGTCTTAAATTTGACTCCTCAGTTCCCTTGTTTTTGTTTTTGTTTTCTATGTAGATTGAGTTAACACATGCTAGTCAATCATCCCTCAGCATTTCTTTTCTCTGCCTCTAGTGTCCTCTACTTCTCCATCCACCGTTATGAGCAGGGACGGTTCTGGCCCCACCTTAAGGCTTCTAACTGGTCCAATACAGGTTTTGGCCAAGGCCAAGGCTATACCATCAATGTACCTTGGAACCAGGTCAGTGTCTGCCCGCCTAAAGTGAGCCTAGCCCTGCCTTTCCACTTGTTCAAGAAAGGTGACTGATGACTGTCACATCATGCTTCTGTCTCTGCAGGTGGGGATGCGGGATGCAGACTACATTGCTGCTTTCCTCCACATCCTGCTGCCAGTTGCTTTTGAGGTCTTAAGAGATACAGGAAATTTGGGGATGAGGGTAATAATGAGGGATGATCCATAAAGGCAGGTCTTCTTACATAGTGTGTTCCCTTTCTAAGTTTCAGCCTCAACTGGTCCTGGTGGCTGCTGGATTTGATGCCCTCCAAGGAGACCCCAAGGTAAGGCAGGTTCTCTGAGGTGTTAGGTGGGCAAGTGGGAGTACACTAAGCTTTCTGTCACTCTTCATGTCTCCCTAGGGAGAGATGGCTGCCACTCCCGCAGGATTTGCCCACCTAACACATATGCTCATGGGTCTGGCAGGAGGCAAGTTAATTCTCTCTCTGGAGGTGAGTAGGTCACCTTAATCTAACCTTGTGGATCCTAAAGGGCTTAGAATTTTATATTTGTTTGTTTGTTGTGTGTGTACATGTGTGTACTATACATGCATGGTCAGAAGACAACTTGTAGGAGTTGGTACTCTCCTTTCACCATGTAGATTCTTTTGGGGAATTGAACTCACGTCAGACCTGACAGCAAGCCCTCTTATCCTCTGACCCACCTCACTAGCCCACAGGAAGGCTTAAGAGCAGATGTTTTGGGCCTTGGGGATGGAGTTAAAAGGTAGAATACTTAGCTAATATAAGCAAAGAGTTCATTCTCAGGACCACTAAAAACAAAACAAGAGCTTTCATGTATATAAGAAGTTCCTTGGGGCTGAAGAGATGGATCAGTTGTTGAGAGAGAGAGCACTTTCTGCTCTTACAGAAGATCTGGGATTGATTCCCAGCATGGTGGTGCACAGCCATCCAAAACCCCAGTTTCAGGGGATCCTGCAGGCTTACACATGGGACACATACACACATGCAGGAAAAAACATTCATAAAGTAAAAATTCCTTAAAAAATTTTAATGGGATTTTTAAAATTGTTCCTGGCTCAGCCTTACTACTTGATAATTCTTTGTGCCTTTGTTTCCTTTATGTCAAGTTGGCAAAATGATAATGGTATTCACTTGACATCATTGTCCAGTAAATTAAATGAAGTCATCATCTAAATTTCTTGTTGCTTGACATAAAGTATGTACGCAAATGTTGTTCCTGTTATCAGTATCCTTCCTTGGTAATATTAGCCCTCTGTTTGTCTTCCCCAGGGTGGCTATAACCTCCATGCCCTGGCTAAGGGTGTCAGTGCATCACTCCACACCCTTCTTGGAGACCCTTGCCCCATGCTGGAGTCCCCTTGTGCACCTTGTGCAAGGTGAGCCTCGGGGGGGGGGGAAGAGGGGAAAAGAGAGCCCTTATTGCCTGAGGTGGGGCAATTTCATCACATTTCTGCTTCCCCCAACCCTAGTGCCCAGACTTCGATCTCCTGCACTCTAGAAGCCCTTGAACCTTTCTGGGAGGTCCTTGTGAGATCAGGTAGGAGGTAGGGAATGGGCATGATCAGCATTAGACATGGAATGATCTATGGGGGGGTGCTCTCTTCTACATCCCCTTTCCTGGAATGCCTTGGTGGGAAGGCTTGTCTGGGTTTTAGGTCTTATGTCTGGGCCACACTTGTCTCAGAGTGATGGGATCCAGATTCAGGAAGTAGGGTGTCTGAGCCCCTCTTTATAGTTGAGCCCCAGGAGGAAGATGCAGTGAAAGAAGACAGGGTAGAAGAAGAGGAAGAGGAGGAAAGACCCTGGGAATCTTCTGCACTGACAATGGATACATTGCCAGTGTTCCAGGATCGCACTGGGCTGGTCTATGATGAAAAAATGATGAGTCACTGCAACCTATGGGACAAGTATGCAGTTAGAGGGCTGGGATAAGTGGTGGTTGGGTCACTCACCTCACTCACTAAACCCCTGGCTCTGGTTTCCTCAACTACTAGTCATCACCCTGAGACACCTCAACGCATCTTACGGATCATGTGCCACCTGGAGGAGTTGGGCCTTGCAGCACGCTGTCTGATCCTACCTGCACGGCCTGCCACGGACAGTGAGCTCATTCGCTGCCATAGGTTAGACCCTATGCTAGGGGTAGGCCAGCTGAGGGACTATGGGGAGGTTCTATTAGGACCTAGGGCTCACCTCCAAGTTGGGTGGAGCTACTGCCCATCTAGAGTGGTCCAAGTTCTTATCTGAAGATGAATTGTGACTTGCTCCTCTGTGCCTTCAGTGCCGAGTATGTGGACCGTCTCCAGGCCACAGAAAAGATGAAAACCCGGGACCTGCACCGTGAAGGTGCCAACTTTGACTCCATCTACATCTGCCCCAGTACCTTTACCTGTGCGCAGCTTGCCACAGGCAGTGCCTGCCGCCTGGTGGAAGCTGTGCTTTCAGGAGAGGTGTGTCTTCGCTAGGTGCCAATGCAGTCTGGCTGAAGAAATAGGGTCCTGAGGAAATAGAGAGGGCCCATCTTCCCCTACTTAGGAGGACAGAGGCAATAGAATCTCTGTTGGGAGGGACAGCTCAGAGTGGGTGCCCTACTGTCTGAGCAGATGGGAGAAAGGGAAGGGAAGGACAAGAGTGAGGGCCAGAGATCCAGTCTTTTTTTCTCCAGGTTTTGAATGGCATTGCAATAGTGCGCCCTCCGGGACACCATGCCGAGCCAGATGCTGCTTGTGGTTTCTGCTTTTTCAATTCTGTAGCTGTCGCTGCTCGCCATGCCCAAGCTATTGCTGGACGTGCCCTGCGGTAAGGGCTCCCCAGAAACCCCAAAACCTAATCTTTACAGAGACCTGAACACCACTCCTTTCGCCCCATTCAGTCTTACTTTCCAGACCCATGGTACACTTCTAGGAGCTTTCACAGAAACAAGAGTCCACTGGGCAGCACTTCACTACGAAAGACCCAGGAGGGTTATATTCGTGCCTCCTAGTCATGACATCTAGATGCTTAATAAAGTATGATCAAGGGTATCACGCCAGCATTACTGATCCCTAACAGGTCATTCCAACAGAACCCAACCCATCTCTCAGTGCTTACTCCAAAAGACCTGGGATTTGACCTGTGACACTTAGCCACACTGGAGCCCTGTTACCTTGCCAGTCCCTAGAAGAGTCTAGAGCCTAACCCCAAGTACTTGCTCAGGCCCATGGTAAAGCCCTTGGAAACCAAAGTTGGACCTTCATCCTTACAATGATGGCAATGCTTTCTTAAGATATCCATGGTCCCCAGGAGTTGAGCTAGCCATAGCCCTCTCCTGGGCCTAAATATCCCAAACTACTAAAAGGAGATATCTCCCTCCCCAGGATCCTGATCGTGGACTGGGATGTTCATCATGGTAATGGAACTCAGCACATATTTGAGGATGACCCCAGGTGAGGGATGGAGCTATGGACAAGACTGTAGTGTGGGAGGGTGCTGAAACATCCTGCAGGGATTTGTGTAGTCTCTAATATGTCATGGTCCCTTTCTCATCCCATCTTCTCCCTGGCAGTGTACTATATGTGTCCCTGCACCGGTATGACCATGGCACTTTCTTCCCCATGGGGCATGAGGGTGCCAGTAGCCAAGTAGGCCGAGCTACAGGTGTAGGCTTCACTGTCAATGTGCCCTGGAATGGACCCCGCATGGGTGATGCTGACTACCTGACTGCCTGGCATCGTCTGATACTTCCCATCGCCTATGAGGTAAAGCTCTGGTCATTATATGATATCTGTGCAAGAGGCAGCACATCTCTGCCTCCCCGGTATGCATGTTTGACTACCAGGTGACTGATCAATGATGGCTCTTATGACATAGGTGGCAATGATGGCCTTACGTGTCTGTCTGACCATGCAATATGGCTGCATGTGAGTGGCCTCTCTGTATGACATTTTATATGTGAACAACTGTCCCGGCTATGTGTATATATGCCTTTTTAATCTGTCTGCCAGCATGAGTGCATGTCTGAAAAGGGGATCCATAAGAGATGCCATCTCAGTGGAACTGTGTAAAACACAGGCATGGGATTGGATACACTATGGATACATGTGTGTAATATTGTATAGCCACTGTCATCTACTTTCTGTATGTGATAGGTGTGATATCATATGTGACTGAATGCTGATGTCTTATAATAACCTGAGAAAGACCCTCTGAATGTGGGAGTATGTTGGCATACTTTTTAAACTTTTATTTGCATTTCTTGTATCTTTTTCTCCCTACTCTACCTCAATCCCTTGCAACACCCCAGCAGCAAGTAGAAGAGAGAAAGGGTTAGTGGGAGAAGGGTTGCAGTTCTTTCTTAGCTGCTTGCTCCTGGTCCGGGTCATTGGCTTCCTTGGAGCCAGTCCAATCCCCGTTCAGTAGCTCTCTATCTTGTTTCATAACAGCAACCAAGAGCAGCAAGGAGGAAGCAGGAGCAGCATTGTTCTTTCTCTGATCTCCACACTCCCTGGGCTCTGACATTTATTCTCTCCAGAGTCCTCAGATTCAAACTATTTACAGCTAGCAAAGAGCTCCTCTCAGAGCCTGCATGAGGCAAATAGTCTGCTCCCATGGAACATCTGAATCAGTCCCACATCCCACACTTGGGACCAAAACAAAACTATGTTTATATCCATAACAGCAGTCTGTAGTGGGATCATCGTCCATGTATGTCTGACTGGGTTTGGCTGTCTATATGTGGGTTTCTGACGGCTCTGACTCAGGGTGGCCTGGCTGTGTGTGAGCTGGGGGCAGGGCCACTGGCATGTGTGTGACTGATGGAAACAGTGAAGACACAACTCTGCAAGCCTGGACTAAGGGGCATGCTTTTGCATCTGCATGCACAGGTGACAGGAACTACCCTTTATGTGTAACTGTGTGCAAGTGATTGCCTCCTGTGGGCAAGAGCAGTGTATCTATAGCCATAAAAACTGTGGTGATGATGTGGACATCATTGTACCAATGCGGGGGTGGCTGTATGTTATTGTCCCCGTGAGAAACCAAGTATATGTGTGTGACTGGCGTGACTTGCAGTCCTGTCAATGTGAGACTGTCTGATTGGGAGTGGAGCTGTGTGACACTTGTATAAAAGCCTGTATCATGTGCAAGTGTGGCCCAGGTTTGACCCTTGTGTGTGAGATAGAGGGCATGTCTCTGTCTCTCTGTTTCTCTTGTCACTATCTCTTGCCATCTGAGTCTCCATGTATCTTTCTCTCTGTGATCCATAGCTATCCCATGACTCTATATTACGCCTCCTTCTGTCAATTTATAGTGTTTCTCTCTCTCTCTGTCTCTCTCTCTCTGTCTGTCTGTCTCTCTCTCTCTCTCTCTCTCTCTCTCTCTCTCTCTCTGTGTGTGTGTGTATGTGTGTGTGTTTGTGTAAAACACACGATCTCCTGGGACTGGAGTCCAGACAATTGTGAACTGCCATGTGGGTGCTTGGAGTTGAACCCTAGTCCCCTGGAAGAGCAGCCAGTGCTCTTAACTACGGAGCCATGTCTCCATTGGGGAGCCCCTCTCCCAATATCTTGAGTTTCTAGAAGGTATACTTTTGTCTCTGACAGCCTGGCCATTTCTGTTTTTCCTAATGTTCCTGTCTTGTGCTCCTTACTTTCAGATCCTCACATCCTCTAGATTTTGACTTGCACTTCCGTGTCTTCATTTGTCCTTGTTTCCATCACTTATTGCCTATTCAAGCCCTTGTGCCATGTTTCTCTTCTCTCCTTACCACAGTTTAACCCAGAATTGGTGCTGGTTTCAGCTGGCTTTGATGCTGCGCAAGGGGACCCACTGGGGGGCTGCCAGGTGACACCTGAGGGTTACGCCCACCTTACACACCTGCTGATGGGCCTTGCCAATGGCCACATTATCCTTATTCTAGAGGTAACTCTTTCTCGATCCCTCTTCCCATGGTGGGAGGGCAGTCTGGGAGAGTTGGCTGTGTCACTCAGGACAGTTTCTGAAATATCCTTTGAATACAGATAGACCTGGGATTGTTGTCTCAAACCAGATTTCAGTAAGGATAGTAGCAGCATTTGAAGCTTTTCTTGAGGACTCATTACATGTAAAGTAGTCTCTGGACTTTCTTTTTTTTTTTTAAAATACTTTCTTTCTTCTTATTTTATGTGCTTTGGTATTTTGTCTGCAATGTATGTCTGTGTGAGGGCGTCAGATCCCCTGGGATCGGAGTTACGGACATTTGTGAGCTGCCGTGTGGGTGCTGGGAATCGAACCGGGGTCCTCTGGGAGAGCAGCCAGTGCTCTTACCTGCTGAGCCATCTCTCCATCCCCGTCTCTGGACTTTCTATGTCTTACAAATTTACTTGGCAAAACAGCACTGTGAGCTACAGTCTGTTTAACTCATTTTCCTCTCAAGATCAAAGGAACTAGCTGGGTGTGGTAGCACATACCCATAATCCCAGCACTTGGGAGGAGGAGGAGAAGGTGGGAGGATCAGGGTCATCCTCAGCTACATATCAAGTTTGACGCCTGCCTGGGCTGTATGAAGCCCTATTTCCAAAAGCCCTCACTCATCAAAACAAACGAGGCAATCAAGCAGAATAGTAAATAGCCTGATGTCACACATCTAATAATGGCAAAATTGAGACTTCAACATCTGGCTCTGGAGGTCTGCTTTTCACCATCATCAAATTGTTCCTAACATGTTAGAGAGACTAAGTCAATTCACAGACCTTTTGTAAATGACTAATGCCTCCAACCCTGTGCCTGGGTTTCCTTATCTACAGATGGGGCTAGCTAATCATAGAGGCACTCCTGGTATACAATGTTCACTAAAAAGATGCTCTGTCTTTCTACCGTTACATCTTTCAGTCATGAACTTAACCCTTAGCAAGCTTGGGTGCTGTTTTCATAGATGAAGACAGTCAGTCACAGCAAAACCCACTGGCTTCCAAAAAGTCCCACTGAATGGTTTGCCCAGGACTGATTATGGAAGGCTAAGGGTGGTAGGGAAGAGTGTGAGCTAATGTGAAGAACTGGTAGTTCGGTGGTAAAACTTGTGTACCAAGGGCCTAGGTAATGATAATGATAGCAACAACTTGGACTATTTTGTCAGCCCAGGTTCAAATACTAGCACTGCTTCTTCAATTCTTGTGACCTCAAGCTCTATGTATAAAGAGTAGAAACAGGTTTCGATCAAGTTAGACAAAATTCAAGTTAAGGGATCATACAGATAGAATGCTAGTTGTTCCTGTCCCAGGTCACAACAGGGCCTTTCTGGGATCTGTGTGCATTTGTATGGGTCAAATCTGTGCTTTATATGATGTGTGGCCAGGGATCCCTGGACAGTGTGAAGACAGGTATGGCAGAAGGGCATGTTTCTGTAAATACTAAACACCTGTCATTGTGAGGATTGTGTTAACATGCATAAATTATTTAAAATAGGCTCTAGCTCACAGCAAACAGTAAATGTAAGCTATCATTTGTTAATATTATTGTCAGTGTTGTTCCTGTTATCTTGCACTTGACAGCACAATTTACATTCCCTCCATAGCTCCCTCATACACTGAATACTGCCTTTCTTACAAATGTGTCCCACACTCCTTTTTTTCTGGGTACTATCCTGCACTCTAGACCTTCAGTGCCCTAGAAAAAGGAGAGCTAATTGGAGATTCAGGATATTTAACCCACCCTCCAAACTTCCTGATGAACCCTCATGGAACCCTTTTCTTTCCTTTTACAAAGGGTGGATACAACTTGGCATCCATCTCTGAATCTATGGCTGCCTGCACCCATTCCCTCCTTGGAGACCCACCACCCCTGCTTACCTTGCTGCGACCTCCACAACCAGCAGCCCTGGCCTCCATCACTGAGACCATTCAAGTTCATCGCAAATACTGGCGGGGTTTGCGGATGATGAGTGAGTGGACATAAGAAATCAAGAAGGGCAAGGGAATTCTAAGAAGGGAGGGAGGATCAGAGTCAGTAAAGGGGGTGGTATCCACACTCATGTATCTTTCCTATTGTTCCAGAGATGGAAGACGAAGAGTGTTCTAGTTCTAAGGCTGTCATCAAGCTGCTCAGAACAGCCAATCCTGTGTCACCTACAGGAATGACCACACCAAAAGGAAAGGTTCCAGAAGCAAACACGAGGACAACTACAGCAGTGTCACTTGCAAAAGAATCTACTCTAAGCCAGGCTAAATCAAACACAGCTAAGGAAGTGCTTGCTCAGGGCCAGTCCTCAGAACAAGCAGCTCGGGTCAATACATGGGACCCTATGACCTCAGAGGAGACTGTGGGAGGAGCCACAATGGACCAGCATGCTTCAGCGGCAGCTACAAAAACCATACCTAACCAGACCACCTCAGAGGAGGCGGTGGGAGAAACTGAGCCAATCCCAACCCCTCCAGCCTCAGATGAAGTCAAGCAGAGCACAGGTGCTTCACCTGTGCAGGGAGCCACAGCCCAGCAGACCCTTGACCAGCTGACTAAGAGTCTTGGCACTTTGGAACTAAGCAGTGGAGCTCAGGTAAAACCCACTACCCCTGGGCAGAGGATAGAGGGGGTAGGAACTGGTCTTTGTCATATACATCTTTTTCTTCTGTGTTTCCAGGAGGTCCCTGAATCTGAGGAGGGCCTACTCGGAGAAGCAGCTGGATGTCAGGACATGAATAGCTTGAGGTTGACACAAGGATTTGGGGACTTGAATGGCCAGGTGAGCTCAGGGAGAACATGGGGTTTGGCTGCTGTTTACTGTCTATTCATGCTTCCAGATAGGTGCATATGATGTATAATGGAGAGGTGGAATCCTTTTCTTACTTAGTTTCTCCTACCCACTCTAGGATGTATTTTATGCTGTGACTCCACTATCCTGGTGTCCCCATTTGATGGCAGTATGCCCCATTCCTGCTGAAGGCCTAGATATGGCCCAACCTTGTAAAACCTGTGGAACACGGCAAGAGAACTGGGTGTGTCTGACTTGCTATCAGGTATGGGGCAAAAAAAAAAAAAATTGGGTAGAGGCTGGCCCGGCAGCCAACTTCATCTGGTTCCAAGCAACCCAATAATCACTTTCCAACCTCAGGTATACTGCAGTCGTTATGTTAATGGCCATATGGTCTGCCACCACGAAGCCTCTGAACACCCACTGGTCCTCAGCTGTGTTGACCTATCTACCTGGTGTTATCTCTGTCAGGCTTATGTCCACCACCAGGTGAGCCTGGGCATGGCGTTGAACCCATTCACACTGAGCTGTGTCCTCCTCCAGCCCGTATCCCTTCTGTCATTTGGTGAGGGGAGAACACAGATTCTTTTGCATGGCTGCCCCATGGGTATTTTCAAGAGGGTATAGAGTAATCTAGGAGACATAGTAGTTGAGGGCTACAGTGATAACAAACTCTTCATGGCTAAAATGGAAGCACCCTCATTTTCACTTTTTTCTCACTTCTTTCTCAGGATCTCCAAGATGTGAAGAGCGCTGCCCACAAGAACAAGTTTGGGGAGGACATGCCCCACTCACACTAAGTCCTGAAACATGCTGCCTCTTTGCCTTCTGAGGCCCCAGACAGCAGTTCACTGAAACCTGTACCTTGAATGAGGGTGGCCTCACTTTCACCCATCCTGAATATCCTTTGCAAGGTGCTTACTTAAGTGCAAATCATTTTAAAAGGACTGATGTTCACTTGCAGATATGCCCATGCCGACTGCCTGCTCGGGGAACATCACTGTTCTACCCAGAAGGAAAGAGGGACAGCTTAGTAGCTCTGAGAAGGAGCTGAAACCACAAGGATGACATTGAAGGAGACAATTGGCAGTTGTAGCAGGGTTGCGTATTTAATAAAACTTAAGTTGCCATGAAACCTGAAGAAAGCTTCTTTTTTTTTAATTTAAAAACCTGTCATTCCCAACCATCACAAGTAAAGGAAGGAAGGGAGGGAAGAAGAAAGAAGAGGTCTTCATCAAGTCAGCTCTGTCCATACATTGCTCTCTGCCCTCCTTCCCCCAAGAAATCTGACTAGGCAGCTAGATTGGTGCTGCTGAAGACTAAATAGTAGACTTCATGAGAAAATTAGTGTCCACCATAGAAACAGGAGTCTCATGAGGCATGGTGGTGCATGCCTTTTATTCCCAGAGTTTTAGGCCAGTCAGAACTATGTGGTGAGACACCCTCCCTCCCTCTCTCTCTCTCTCTCTCTCTCTTCTTTTTTATGGTTTTTGGAGACAGGGTTTCTCTGTGTAGCCTTGGCTGTCCTGGAACTCACTCTGTAGACCAGACTGGCCTTGAACTCACAGAAATCCACAGGCATGCGTCACCCTGCCCGGCTGACCCTGTCTCTTAAAGACAAAGTTCTCAATCTGTCCCAGCTGAACTCTAGGGTGAGAAGACATGAAAATTGTGTCTGTTTCCCCATCTATCTCATTGAATTCCTTGGTGAGGGTAAGGATGGGTTTCGTTTTAACTTTGCGGTAGTGGTTGTGGGTGGCATTCTGAGAGAAAGAGTGCAGTGCTGTTAACCTAAGTTGGATAGCTGGAGGGCTTTTCTGGAGTTTTATTCCATATCATGAAAATTGCTTTGGCTGATGGTTAAGGATTTTGTTGATTGCCGCCTACTCGTCCCAGAGACTCACCTAATGAAAAAGAAGGAGGGCAATGCGCCTCCCCCCCCCCCAATACATCAGCCTGACTTCAAACTGACCCTGTACATTTTTTAAAAATTTTTATTTGTATGGATATTTTTCCTGCATTTATGTATTTGCACCATGTGCGTGTCTAGTCCACAAAGGCCAGAAGAGGATGACAAATCCTCTGGAACTGGAGTTACAGATGGTTTTGAGCAGTCATGTGGGTGCTAGAAATCTAACCTAGGTCTTCTGGAAGAGCAACAAGTGCAACCACTGACCACCTCTCCAGCCTTGACTTGCATTTTTGATTCTTCTGCTTCCAACCTCCCTAATGCTGGGATTACAGGAGGGTGCCGCTTCACACATTTTAGGCAGTACCTGCATGTTTTGCAATCACTACCAACTGAACTATGTCTCAACCCAGTCGACCCCCTTTGGGAAAGCAGTATAGATACCCACTTTACATTTCATTGTTCAGAATTCTGGCCTGTGATTATCATAGCTGCAAGAGAGTCTAAGGGGGAGGGTTGATTTATAATTTGCATTTATGCCTCAGATCCGGTTCTTTTTGTCCTCACAAAACAGCCCCTTCCTCTGCAACTGTTTTCCTTCAGGAAAACACACAACCTACCCCATAGCTATCCAGAAACCCAGCTGAAGTTGTGCAAGTTGCCTTGGTTAAAAGAAACACTTACAAAATGGTTTCCAAAATGTGGTTTTCTAGGTCAAACCTTGATACAGCGATATACACACACAAATGGCCCAAGCTGAACCAACCCTACTCAGTCCAGGAGAGGGAGGGGCTTGCCAGAGGGGGTGTGCTGTGTAGAGAGGGGCAGGTGGAGGTCCCGCCCACATTTGCTCTCCACATTGTGTGATGCGGGAGAGGAAAGGCCTGGGGGGCGGGAGGGGTCAGGGGTCGGGCAGGTGGGAGGGGGCAAGCCCACATCTCCGCCCTCTGACCCCTGCTGGGTAGGGAGCATCCTAACCCCCAGACTGTCCGGTCAGAGCTGCCTGCCGAACCTCAGCGGACCGCCACTCCTGGGGACACAGGTAAGCTGGGCTCTGGTATTCCTAGCCCAGACATCTTTCTCTGCTCCGGTGTTCCAGGGGTCCCTTTCCTGCCCTTGCCTTGTCTGGAGGAGCAAGCCTTGCACTCACTTCACTTAGTTGAGTGCTGAACGGGAAGCAAAACTGTTTTGCGAGGTGGAAGGAGGCAGGAGGAGAAAGGAGCATGGGGCAACCATTCTAACTTGAGTCCAAAGTGGAGAAGCACAGAAACAGATGAGGGTAACCCTTCCCCAGTCCAGAGCTTTACACTTCACCTGACACTGATACAGAAAAGCAGAAAAGCACGGAGACCAGGCGAGTTGTTCAGGTTAACCTGAGAAGGGGGCCACAAGGTCTCTTATTTGGAGTGACTCTGTATACCCTTCCGTCTCCCTTTGACCCTGTGTGCCCAGCCTGCTTTTGCTCGCCTTCCTGGGGCTCTAGCCTTCCTAGGTCAGAGATGCGAGTCCACAAGACTGATTCAAGCTGCTTGCTCAAATCCAAAAGCGGCTCAAAGCCACAAGGTCTCCAGAGCCCTTTGGGGATTCTCCATCAGCACTCTACGCAGTAGGGGGCTCTGTAACTTGAGCAGAAAGCTGAGGTGCAGTGCTGTGGTGTTTCTACCATCCCCTCCTGAAACCAGTCCCCTCCCTGTTCCTTGTGAATAAAAGACACGGAAACTATAGCCCTATCCTCCCTGAGGTGTCACAAGGATCAGGTTGAGTGTGGCCATATTGAGGGCTCACTCGACCTTTCCTATGCTCCTACTGTGATAATGCCAGCACCTTAGGGAAGCAGTCTTCTTTGACTTACCCCCACCTTTGATCATAGCACCCCCAGATTTTCTGCTGTTCTAGCCCCAAATTTAAGAGTCATTCTTTCCTGATTCCCTGTCTTTTAATCTTGAAAAGAAACTGAAGCTGTTTAGTCCCACCGTCGGAATATATCTGAACCTGACCTCTCTTTTTTACCTGCTCTACTCCCACCTCCCACCTTCCGCCCCCTATCCGCACATGGATTCTTTTACTACCCGGGACTCCTTACTGAAATCATCCTGGTCGCTCCTCCACAGACTACCTCTCTGTGGCCCCAAACACTAGGATACTCTAAGACTGTTCTCTGCTCGCTTTCCTTCTCACCGTTTACCTCTTTGCGGGTATGTACTTCCAGTAGCCCTTTTCAAGGATCCCTCCACCTGAGATCGTCCCACAACCCCCACCACACCTTATTACCCAAAACTCTACAGATCTTCTAGGGATCCCTGGACCCCACTACTTGCCCCCAGACGCCCCCCCCAGTTTCTAGTGGAAAGTGTGGCAACCACCATTATGGTGTCCCTCTGGAAGGTGCTTCCCCAAGAAGATATGGAGGTGCATTCAGTGAGTTAATGACTTGCTTTTAATAGCTAACACAAATTGAGCACCTGCTGTGTGCCTAACTTCTTCTACTATGCAAGATAATTTCCTTACTTATCATATTTATAGTCTGTCTTGTCACCAGAATCTCTCTTAAGGACCCTGGAGTTGAGCCTGTTTTGTTCTGTGCCATATCACAATGCTTGGCATACAGGAAGATTTTTAAAAGTTGATTTAGCTAAGATTAAATAATAAAATACTGAACATTAGAACTTGTTGTCTCGTGGTAAACAACATGAGATTATAGACAACAATGCAGAATATAACATAAAATGTAGAAAGTGATATCCAGGTCACAGCAGTTAAGATTGCTTTTGTTGCGGGAGGCGCTGTTGTTTTGGGGTTTTAGTTGTTGGTATTGGTTTTGGTTTTGGTTGTTTGTTTGTTTTGTTTTTTTGAGTCAGGGTCTCAGTATGTAGCCCCTGGCTGGCCTGGAACTCGCAGAAATTCACCTGCCTCTGCTTCCTAGATGCTCAAATAAACTTGTGTATGATTGCAGGTTCTAGAAAAGCACTTGGGTTGCTACACATTAGCCACTGAGCCATCTTGTTGGTCCTGTGCCTGATTTTGTATTGTACTGAGGAGTGAAAACAGAACTTCATGCATGCTATTATGTGTTTTACCAAGGGAACCACACACCCCCTAGTTTTGTTTGACTTTTTGTGCATCTCTATGTCCCTGTTTGCAATAGGTGGTTACTAGACTGTGCAATTTGGTTGGCCTTGGTTTTGTTTTTTTTTTTTTTGTTTTTTTTTTTTTGTTTTGTTTTAAATCTGATCTGGCTTCTAACTTGTTATATAACCGAGGGTGACCTTTAACTTCCAATCTTTCCTCTACCTCCTGAATACTGGAACTGTACATATGAACCACCAGGCATGAGGTGCTGAGGATTGAACTCAGGGCTCCACGCATGCAAAACAAGCACTATACCAACTGAGCTATATAGATCTCCAGCCTTGATTTATTATCTTTCTATAATATGGTATTCTTTTAGAACATAGATCCATTAGATGGAAAAGTTCCAAGCAGCCAGTCACCAGACAGGCACTACTGTGCCACACTGGAGTTCAAAGACAACCAAATCCCACTGTCTTTGTGCAGCGGAGAGAGACTGCTAAGGAACATAGAGATTCTTTTCCAGGAGACAAAGATGTCCAAAAATTGTAAAACGTTCTCAAATTCAACTGTAGTGATGGTTATACAACTCCATGGATATGCCAAACTTTACTGAATAGCACATTTTAAATAGTTGGGCTTCATGTAGTGCTTATTAATAATCAGTAGGAGTACTTGAAAAATCCCGGGGCAGGCAAGATGGCTCAGAGATAAAGGCCGTTGCCACCAAACCTGCCTTACTACTGTAGAAGAGAATCTACTCCCATAACTTGTCCTTTGACCTCGACACAAATGCTGTGGCATACATGCATAACCCTACACCTGGAAGGGATAAGTCACCTCCATCAACCCCAATCTAACACTCTCATGTACAAAATAAATGAAATCTAAAAATTATATAATTTATACAAATATAATATACAATATATAATTTATATAAATATATAATATAGATATAATTTTTTACGTGTGTATGTGTGTATAAGAAATATCCTTTCTTGATTCTGAAGAAGTAGCTGAATGGTAGAAGCTGTGGGTTTTATCCCCAGGCTTGTTAAAAGAAAAACTGCCTTCTATCTCTAAAACAAAGAAGAGGGTAGCTGGACATGGTGGCTCACACCTGTAATTCTAGTACTGGGAAGATAGAAGCAGGAAGATTGCTGAAACTTTGAGGTCAGCTTGACCTGTAAGACAAATTCCAAGCTGGCCAGAGCTACATGTTAAGACCCTTGTCTCACCCCACTGCCAAATAAGGAGAAAACAGTGTAGTATATACTTACCTAAGTTGACTCAATTACACCAGGTGCTCTGCTTTCTTTTAACCAGGCTTGCCCAAGTTGCTGTTCTCACTCTCAGCACCTGCAGTTTTACATCTCTTCCTTGAGCTGTTGGGAATGGCATTGCCAACAAACTCTAGCATCTTCGACCTGAGTCCCAGCTCCCAATGCAGCAGATCCCCAGAGGAAAGCCATGAGGCTTGGGCACAATGCAAAGATGCTGGCAGGCAGCTACCTGAGTACAAGGTGGTGGTGGTGGGTGCAAGTGGTGTTGGTAAAAGTGCTCTCGTTATCCAGATGGCCCACAGCACCTTCGTGAAAGACCATGATCCCACTATCCAGGATTCCTACTGGAAGGAAGTGGCCCTGGACAATGGGGGCTACATTCTGAATATGCTGGATACAGCTGGGCAGGATATCCACCGGGCCCTGCGAGACCAGTGCTTGGCAGCTGGTGATGGCGTGCTGGGTGTCTTTGCTCTTGATGACCCCTCGTCTCTGGATAAGCTGCAGCAAATATGGTCCTCTTGTAGCTCTCACCACAAGCAGCCTCTGGTACTGGTGGGCAACAAGTGTGACCTGGCGACTTATGCTGAACATGTGTATGCTGCTGCTCACAAGTGGGGAGTCCCCTTAGTGAAGACCTCAGCCAAGACAGGGCAAGGTGTAGAGGAAGCCTTTACTCTGCTTGTCCATGAGATTAAGAGGACCCAGGAGGCTACAGCTGAGGCTAGCAGGGAGAAGACCCGACACCACAAAGCCAAGTGTAGCTGTGGCTGCTCTGTGGCCTGAAGATCTTAGTCAAGCAAAATTGTCATGTCAAGATGACAATTCTCTTAGTGTTAGGTGGTAACATGGGATGTCCAGCATTGGTTGTGTTCTATAAAGTTCTATGCAAAATAAATGTTCTCAGGATTCAAAGCTGCCTCCAACCTGTCTTTTTTGGTTTTTAGGGTTTTTTTGTTTTGTATTGTTTTGTTTTTTTTTGTTTGTTTGTTTGTTTTAAACAAGGTTTCTTTCTGGCTGTCCTGGACTCACTTTGTAGACCAGACTGGCCTTGAACTCAAAAGGATCTGCCTGCCTCAGGCTCCCTGAATTAAAGGCATGTGAGCCACTGGGTCCCGGTTTCTTTCTTTCTCCCTTTCTTTCTCTCTCTTTCTTTGTTTTTTTTTTTTTGTTTGTTTGTTTGTTTTTTTGTTTTTTTTTTTTGGCGGGGGGGTGTTTTTTAGACAGGTTCTTACTATGTATCCCTGCCTGAAACTCAGAGATCTGTGTGCCTCTGCCTACTGAGCCCTGGAATAAAAGGTATGTGCCACCGTGCCAAGCTTTGTTTCCTTTGAGACAGTCTCATGTAGCCCAGGCTGAGACTGAACTCCTACCTGATTGATCTCCCTGTCTCTACCTCTCAGGTGTTGCTATTACAGGTGTGTATCCAGCTTTCATTATGTGGATGGGAGAATGTTTGAGTTAGATCTTTTTTTCATTTAAGGAATTTTGGGGACCTGAGCATATTAGTGGCACACACCTGTAATCCTAGCACTCAGGAGGAAGAGGCAATCAGATCTCTTGACTTTGAAACCAGTCTGGTCTATATAGTGAGTTCCAGGATAACTAGAGCTAGTGAGATTCTGTTTTGAAAAAGAAAACAAAACAAAGTTAAAGGCCTAGCAGTTAACAATATTAAGAAGAAAGAAAGGGCTGGGTGTGGTAGCACTCACTTTTAATCCCTGCAGAGAAAGAGGCAGGAAGATCTTTTCTGGGCCAGCCCAGTCTAGAGGGAGTTCCAGGGCTATACAGAGAAACCTTGTCTCAAAAAACAAAAGGAACAAAATAACCAAAAGAACCTCCATCCTTGAACAACAGTAGACAGTGAAAAGGTTAAAAAAAGCCATATGAACCAGGGGATGGTGGTGTATGCCTGTAATCCCAGCACTCAGGGAGGCAGAGGCATTGGATCTCTGTGAGTTTGAGGCCAGCCTGGTCTACAAAGTGAGTCCAGGACAGCCAAGGCTACACAGAATCCCTGTCTTGAAAAAAAAAAAAAAAAAAGAAAAATATTATGAAATGACACTTGTGCAAAAATTTGCACATATCGAGGGCTGAATATTTCGAGCCCTGTATGGTCAGTGCTTGGCGTAGTTGATGCCATGCTAGATGTTTGGACCAGCTGCGGCAGATGTGATCCACCTTGGGCCCTTACATGCCTGGACCTGGTGGACAGCAAGTGTAGCCATAGCCCCTTGGCCTTTAGTGCCGTGGACTCCTGACAGATGCTGAAAGTAACCTAAGAGCCTTCCAGTGAAGCCCAGCCCAGGCACCTGGTGAGGACTGCAATGCCAGTGTCTGTGTAGGTGCCTTTGCCAGTGAGAAAAGCACCAACTAGACAGGCGCTTATTCCATGTCAGTACAGAACCCAAATAGGTAATGTGTCCTCCAAATCCACTGGACCCAACTACACACCACTCAAACAAACATCTGCTATAGATCGCATTTATTGAGGCCTCAGGGGATAGGAATGTCGGGGTTGCCGGGGTAAGCAGCCGTGCTGGCAGGAAGTCAGGGTGGTTGGGGCGCTCCTGGGTTACAGGGCGTGGCAGGATGCTGCATCGCTCAAGGAGGGAGGAGACGGCGTGCCGGCGCCTGGGGCAAGGGGTTCTCCAGGCGTTTGACCCGTAGTAGCGCCCCCAGCACACTCTCAGGAGGCACCTCCGGTCCCAAGTCCTGGTCCGCGGCTCGGCGGAGGCGGCGTGGGGCCGAAGCAGCCTCTGGCTCCGAACTGCCGGTGAGGATCCGCCCCAGCAAGTACCTGCAATATGAAGCGGAATTCAGTGAGAATCCGGACAACACAACATTGTAACTCCATATTGCTTGCAACTCCCACTAAGGGCCTGCGGGACTCACCACTACTTTCGGATGAAGTCAGAGGTCTCCGCGTTCCACTGCAGAAACTGCCTTCCCCAAGGACCACCCCTGGCAGAAAAGGATCCACCCGGGGAGCCCTAGTCCTGCATTGTCCCACCAATCCAGTGTCTGTCCCCTGTACCCAGGACTTCACTTCTTAGGCTCCAGAGCAGCGCTTTGGAGATCTTGCTCGCTCCCAAGGTGTAAAACAAGTCCTGCCGCCCTCGTTCTACTTTCCCTGATCCCCTCCCTCAACACCCCCCCCCCCCGCACCTCAGCAGCTCCGGGTCCACATCAGGAGTCTCGTCGCCACCGACGTCCTCGACATCCGGGCCGGTGGGGCCATCATCGTACACTGGGGGCCGTGGTCGCATTGCAGTGGCAGGCGCGGGAACAAGCTGGGCGGCGAGGGCGGCCGGGTCTAGGCGAGCTCGGAGCAGAGCCCGTGCAAGCTGTGCAGCAGGAGCGTCAGGGTCATCGTTTGGGACCACGGGCGGCTCCGAAGAGCGCGGGGAACCCCAGGCCCGCAGCAGCTGCGCCAGGACCCGCGCCTGCTGATCCTCCACCTCTTGCGCCTCAGCACGCGCCCGTTCCTGTCTCTCAGCCTCCAGCAGGTGCGCCAGCGCCCGCGCTAGCTCCTGCACCGCCCCTGCCGCCTCTCCTCGGGCCACAGCCCGACGCAAGCGGCGGGGGGTGCCAGTCTCAGCCAAGGGTGCAGATGCTGCGCTCAGACTGCGGGGCTCCTGAGGGAAGATGAAGTGGTGGGGTGTAAGGGAAAATAATATCGTCATTGTCCCTTCTAACAACGTCCTACTAGGGGTGGGGCTCCACGGATTTTAAATAACCACCACATTGACTGGGCGCCTCCAAAATTCCTTTCTTCTCTAAAGCTCGGGAAATCCCTGAATATCTTCAAGGGATAAGACCACTAAACACTTCTAAGATCCACACAGCCTCAGTGAGGCCTCAATCACTCAGAACTTGGCTGAGTCCTCTGGGTGCCAGGCTGTTACTGTTTCTTTTCCCTTTTTTCTTTTTTTAAAGATTTATTTATTTACTATGTATCCAGATCTCATTCTAGAGGGTTTCGAGCCACAATGTGGTTGCTGGGAATTGAACTCAGGACCTTTGGAAGAGCCGACAGTGCTCTTCGAGCCATATCCCCAGCCCTCTTTTCCCTTTTTGCTTTTCTTCTTTTTTTTGGGGGGGTAGTGGTGCCAGGTTTGGAATAAAACTATAACATTTCACTATTAGAAATTAAATTTGCAAAAGTAAGCTGGGCATGGTAGTGTATGCCTTTAATGCCAGCACTTGGGAGGTAAAGACAGGCAGATTCCCGAGTTCAAGACCAGCCTGGTCTACAAATCGAGTTCCAGGACAGCCTGGACTACACGGAGAAACCCTGTCTCGAGAAACAAAACAAAAGAAAAAATGCAAAAATGATTTTGAAAAGGAAACTGCCCATGTCTCAAAAGAAGAATGGGCTTTATGACCCATTCTTAAGGTGTTACACTCACAGCCTACTAGACATAAATTCTTGAATCATCACATTAGTATTTTATAAAGCATAAAAGTAGTGGAATAAAGGAAAGAATGCCCTGGAAATAAACAATGACATACTATTATGCACATGATACATTCATAGTATATGATTTTGTGCACCAATAAATTACCTATAACCACAGACTTCAATATAAATGAATCTCCCACCAAAGAAAACCAAAAAAAGGTTTTGGGAGCTAGCTTGCAGAAAGGCCTCGGATACAAAACTACATGCAACCCCCCCCCCCCCCCCCCACACACACTAAAGCAAATTCTAGAATCCCATTGTAGATGGCCTAAGGCTATCAAACACTAAGGACTTCCTAGTGACCCCTAGTGACCACCAGAAAGCAAATGCCTAGCTTGATTCCATTTGTATGATGTTCCAAAAGCAGGAGAAACTAAACAATAGATCATTTAAAGATAAGCTGCAATAAAAGTAAAGAATCAATGGGCAGAAAATAGAAGGTAATATCTATGGAGGGGGTGAGGCTATCAAAGGACTCCTATTATTGGTCATACTTTGTTTCTTAAGCTGAGTAGTAGCTATGATAAGGTAATGATAATTATTTTATGGCTATGATAATTTTACCATTGTTTTATAAATTACTGTGATATAGTTACTCTATATATGTTAAATATTTAATAATCTTAAAAATCCTCTGTGATTTAGACAGCTCTGAAGAGGTGGCATCTACCTTGGTCATCATCAACCACCCTCAGCCCATAGGGAAGTCACTCACCAGCAAGCCCCCCCTTACACACACACACACACACACACACACACACACACACACACACACGCCCTTGAAATGTCACAAATGCAACCCAACACTGCCATATCCACTGATCCACTGCAAGTAGCCGCATAAAAGTGTTCTTTTTTCATGCCTGTGTGCACATTCCCTGTCAGAGAAATGATCTGCAGTTCCACTGTCTGAGCCACCCAGGTGCAAGGACAGGCATCATCCTTCAAAACACAATGCAGAACAGAGACATCATGGCTTCTTCCCCCGCTATGACACAGCTCCACAAAGAAGCTAAAAGGAAACTGTCTCGTGGATGCACCTAGGAAAAACCCAAGCACTCAGTCTACCCAAGCCACCATGAAATGTACCCTGAAGTACAAGGACCACTCCTTCCAAAATGAAAACAAACAAACACAGAAACACACAAGTACACAGAAAGATACGCCCATATACTACGTCATCACACATAAGGGTTCACAGATATACACATGGTATCACAGAGGAAGCAACCAGTCCCACAAAAAGTCAAACAGAAGCATCTTTAGTATTGTAGGACATTCAGGGGCAGTCAAACCAAAGGACACACACTGAAAGAACACA